GGGGACCCCCATGCAGGATGCCATCCAGTGGGACTCTTGCTGCGTCTGTGTCTGGAGTGTCCTCCCAAACTCTGTCCCCACTGTTCCTAGCGGAGGTCTGCTCGCAGCTGTCACCACTGTACCCCCAGCCCAGGTAGAGACCCCACCCTTCCAGCTGCCCTGTGGATAAGGCAGAAAAAGGCCTGGGGGAGGGGTCCTTCCTTGGGCAGATGTCATCTGTGGAAGAAGGTGGGGTGGGCAGAGGATGCAGCCCCCCAGGCAAAGGCATGAGCTTCTTTTGGGCCCACACCTGTTCAGCTAATGAGTGCTGGCCATTGTCCAGTAGCAGGGCTGGTATGGGCAGGAGGGGGTTGAATTGGTGGTGACTGGGCCCATACGGACCTTCTGTATCCCTCCCTGGTGATCCCCAGCCCAACCCGCTGGAGCCTGCTTTCCTGGGCATCTTGGGAGCCTGGGGGTGAGGAGGGTCGGGGGCTGCACTTCTAACATTCACTGCAGCCCAAGTCACATCTAAGAACCTATCTGGGCAGCTGAACAGAGAGGTCATGACCCTGACCCCAGGCAACATGGGATGACTGGAAGGAATGTGCCTAAAAAGGACCCACAGCAGGCTGGCCCCAGGTTTTCCCCCTGGAATCCTCCCAGAGCCCTGAATCCTGCCTGATAAGAGAACTTTCCCCAGGCCAGGTGCAGTGGCTCAGGCCTGGAATCCTAGCACTGTAGGAGGTTGAGGCCAGTGGATGGCCTGAACTCAGGAGTTCCAGACCAGCCTGAGCCAGAGTGAGACCTTATCTCTAAGAAAATAGCTGGGTGTTGTGGTGGGTGCCTGTAGTCCCAGCTACTTGGGAGGCCGAGGTAAAAGAATCTCTTAAGATCAAGAGTTTGATGTTGCTGTGAGCTGTGACACCATGACATTCTACCAAGGGCAACATTGTTAGACTCTGTCTCAAAAAAAGAGAGAGAACTTTCCCAGTAGGTAGAGAGGGGCAGGAGAGGTGGCAAGAGCCAGACCTTCTCTTTGTCCCAGAGTATGGCAGGGGCAGCCACCCTCAGAGGCAAGAGGCTGCTTTCAACCATGGGTACCTGGTGATTGGGACATAATGGGGAGGCTCAGGGTTGGGGATCATCTGGCACCAGAGACTCAGCAAAGCTCTTGGGGTCCCTGCTGCCTCTCAGTCCCCGGAGCTGTGTCCATTGAAGGTGGGCTCTGAAGGCCTTAGGGTGGGATAGCATGGCCTATGACGCCTGGTTATCCACAATGGGTGCCATGAACCTGGTTGTCCTTGAGGCCTAGAGAAAGCTGATGAGATGGCTGGAGAAGTTAAGTAAAGCTGGCAATGCCAACAGTGTCCTGTGTCGTCCTTACAGGAAGGAACGGGAGGGGGAGGCATCTGTGATGGACAGGGCACAGCCATGGGGTGTCCTGTCCTTGCAGCTGTCCTGCACCCACCATCCCCTAGGATGGGGCCCTAGAGACACCAGGTGGCCTGGAGCAGGCACTTGTATGGCCCTACACAGCTGAGCACTGTATGTACCACATGGAGCCTTTATCTCAGAGCCCTTGAAGAGAGGGCAGAGAGGGACAGCCTGAGAGCTGAGGCCTGGGCATGAACCTAGGAATAGCTGCCACCTCACTCCACATGGCAGCACCCCTAGGGTGGTCTGTGCAGGCCATGTGGGGATGGGCATGGCTGTGTGGTGTGCCTGTGTACTGGGGTGCATCTGCGTCCCTGGGCAGGCCTCAGGCACCTGCCACCCTCTTTGGGAATCTAAGAAAACTAAGGAGAACCTGGAACCCCACTGCCATTTCAAGGCAACCTCCTTGGAGCCCAAGATCTGCTCCCTGAATCATCTCCCGGGGAGGACAGGTGGAGAGGGTGACCTCTCTTGTCACAGCCCCTCCCCCTCCCTACCTGGTGTTTGTAGGGATAGGCAGGGAGCTGGGCAGGGAGCACAGGCCTGGGGTGGGGGGACACCTGCACCCAAGCCAGGCCATGTCCCTGACTCAGGGTAGTCTCAAGGCTGGCACCTCCCCTTTGCAGAACCTTACCATCTTGATGCATGGGCATTGGACAATCGCACTTGTTGACAAGTTCCTGGGGGCAGATGAGACCTCAGTGCCACAAAGAATGCCATAGTGGACACGAGAGCAGACCATATGGCTGGCTGAGCCATTATTATTATAGATCTCTGGGGCTGTGGGCCTCCCCACCTGCCCCACTTCACCTTCCAGGGAACTGGAATCAGTCAGGAACAGGAAGGCACTGGGCTAAGAGGCCAGTACACCAGTACTGGCCAAGATCTCTTCTGGAGACCTGTAGCTCAGTGCCTGGGCTAAGTCCTAATGTCCTAGGGACCCCAGACTTAGCAGGTAAACCCAAGCTGCCCTGGACAGAGGGGCTCCTGAGGAGGTGGGAGAGGGCAGGACAGGTGAGTGTGGCCAGCTACTCCGTGTGGCTGGGCGCAGGGGCTGGTGCCTGGCTGGAGGGCTGCACGGCCTGCACTGTCTCCTCCGGGCTGCCACTGGGGAACACCACATAGCGGGTGAGGGTCAGCCCTGGGGGCTCCTGCTGGTTCTCCTTGCTGTGCCAGATGCCATAGCCGAAATACACAGCGAGTCCTGCAGGGTGTGAGGGGATGAGCCTGAGGGGCAGGTCCCAGCCCTCCCTGCCCCCCTCCCAGCCCACTCGGGGCCCAGCTGGCCCCACTCACCCATTAGCAGCCAGATAGTGAAGCGCACCCAGGTCAGGTAG